TTGGGGAACCGCTGCCCCCCCCCCGCTGCCGCGGGCCCCCCCAGCCCCCCCTCCCCCGCCGTTCCGCCAGGCACTGGAAGAGCAGCTCCCCGCTGCCGCCGAGCTCCCGAGGTAACACCTCCCGCCGGCACCGCCCGCTCCCGTCTCCTCCCGGCCGGGGGCGGTGCGGCGCCTGCGCGGGAGCGCTGCTGAGGCCCGGCCGCTGTGTGGGCAGGCGGGAAGTGTGCGGGCGCATGCGCGGGGCGGCGGCTGGTGCGCAGGTGAGGCCAGCGCGGGGCCGGGGCGGCAGGGGTTGTGGTGGGGGGGCACGGCGCTCCCCGCCGGTGGGGCTGTCCTCCGCGTCCCCCCCGCTCCTGCTAGCGGAGGGAAGGAGCTGGGTCTGCCTCGTTGCTCGCCTCAGCGGGAGGAGGGTCCTTTCCCGAAGTTGGGACCGGAGCTGGAGGGCGCGGAGCGGGCCTGATCCAGGCTGGTTTAGTTAGGGCCGGCGGACGGGCAGCCGTGAGAGGGGAGTCTCTCGTCAGCCCCTCAGTGTATGAGGCAGGGGTGGCGGGACGGGCTCTTTTCGTCTTCCCCGAAGCCCTGAGGTCGCATTTAAGAGCGTCAAACGGCCTCGGCTTCCCTGCTGCCTTCTGGGCCGGTCACCGGCGGGCAGGGGACGGCCCAGTCGGGGCTGGGCGAGAGAAAGCTGCTTTGCCCCTCTGCTGTGAGGAAATGCACCCTGGACGATCTTATTAGGGACGCTCGCAAGGGAAAAAAAAAAAAAAAAAAGAAGTTCAGATACATGAAGCGAAACAGTGGCAGAGGTCTGGCGAGTTAGGGGTGTGTCAGTGAGAGGGGTGTTTCACTGTTCCTTTGATACCGGTGGGGGTTCCCCCCTGCTGTCATGTGGAATGCTGCAGGCGGAGAGGAGAGAGAGCTGGAGTGCTGGTCATGTGGGGTTTCCTCAAGATAAGTGCATTTTAGCTCTTGTAGTTTTCCATCCTGGGTTGACTTTGTTTGTGAAACTTTTTTTAGTGAATGTGTTCCTGTGACTCTTAGAGTTTTAGGGAAGGTGACGCTTCCCGTTATCTTCTGCCCCATCAAAATGGGGAAGCTGTAGATTTGTTGGAAGCTGATAGTGAAAATGTTTCAAGATTTGTGTCTACACAATATTGAGATCCTAGAGTGTGTCCAGGGAAGGGCAACAAAGCTGGTGAGGGGTCTAAAGAACAAGTCTTACAAGAAGCAGCTGAAGGATCTAGGGTAGTTTAGCCTGGAGAAAAGGAGGCTGAGGACAGACCTTTTCGCTTTCTACAGCTACCTCAAAGGAGGCTGTAGCGAGGTGGGGATCGGTCTCTTCTACCAAGTAACAAGCTATAGAGGAGGAAGTAGCCTCAAGTTGTGCCAAGGGAAGTTTAGATTGGATATTAGGAAAAATTTCTTCATGGGAAGGGTCATCAAGCACTGATCCAGGCTGCCCAAGGAGGTTGGTGGAGTCGCCATCCCTGGAGGTATTTAAAAGACAGGTAGATGCTGTTCTTAGCGACATGGTTTAGTGGTGGTTTTGGCAATTTCAGGTTGTGGGTTGGGCTTAATAATCTTAAAGGTCCCTTTCAAACTAGACGATTCTGTGATTCTAAGATGAAGAATCTTCCATCAATGCATACTATAAAGTGCTGAGCCAACACCTTGTGTTGCCAACACCCTGCATGTCACCATGATGTAAAGGATATATTTAGCATATGTCAGTCTTCTTACACAAGTTCAGTGTTGTGCAGGCTCATCATACTTGCATAATGAGTAAAGGGTACTGGAGGTCTGACTGACTAATGTTTGTAAAGCATACTGCTTCATTGCAGGGAAGGTATGCACAGACACTTCCTTTTTGAGTGAAGTTTACAATTAAGTCTCAGGTGTAGAAGTCTGGTTGGCTCTTGGAGTCATATTTGGAAACAAAAGAAGATGAGATAATAACAAGTGCGCTCTAATTTTGTGTTTTTTCTGTGAACACTTTTTTTTTTAGGTGATGTAAACATTTCAGTTATACACGAGAGGGGAAGCAGGTATGTCAGCTCTTTGTCCACCACCATCTCCTGCAGTTGCTAAAACAGAGATTTCTTTGAATGGCGAGTCACCTTTATTAGCTGCCACTTTTGCTTACTGGGACAATATCCTTGGCCCCCGAGTGCGGCATATCTGGGCCCCAAAGACAGAACAGGTGCTTCTCAGTGATGGTGAAATAACTTTTCTTGCTAACCACACCCTGAATGGAGAAATACTTCGGAATGCAGAAAGCGGTGCAATAGATGTGAAGTTCTTCGTCTTGGCAGAAAAAAGGGTAATCATTGTGTCATTGATCTTTGATGGAAACTGGAATGGAGACAGAAGCACATACGGACTATCAATTATACTTCCCCAAAGTGAACTTGGCTTCTACCTACCACTTCACAGAGTGTGTGTGGATAGGTTAACGCATATTATAAGGAAAGGAAGAATATGGATGCATAAGGTAGGTTTATTCTTCATTACTAAAAGCAGCTGTCCAGGTTATCTTGAGCAAAAGCAAAAATTAAGTTTCTGTGACACCTCTTCTGTAGCAATCCAGACATAAAAACTCAGAGGAGGCTGACCTCTGTAGAAGTATAAAATTTTGAAGGTTAAAAGTTGTCAGTATATCAACAAATTCAAGGCTGGGCCTTTTGGGCACATGATTCATCCTGGTAATATGATACAACCTGTGCCAGGTTACTTAGGTGGAAATCCTGCACAGTTTTTCATCTCTATGAATTTGATATAAATTATTGCTTTTAATTGTGTTAATTAGTATATTTAAACTAGGTACTGTGTTTCAAATCATTGTTTTCACTGTTGGGGTACAGAAGGCAGAACTGATGTAATTAAAGTTGTCATTGTTTTCACAGTTTTATTTCTCATAAAAGGGTATTAACAGTTTGGTAGGTGTTAAATTATGTAAAACTAATGAGACAACCACAAAAATACATCTACCTTGGTCCAAATATTTCTACTTTTGAAATTAAGAAAGGAAAACATGCTAAATTTTTCTGAAGAATTGCAGTTCTTACCTTTGGGTACATTATGGTTATTTACTTATTGAGTGAAAAACTTATGTATTTTTGTTTAAAATGAATAACATTCTCATAATAAAAACTAAAATCTCTGTTGTCTTCGTGGAGTACAAGTTGTCTTAGAGCAGTAATTTGCATGTCAGCTGTAATGTGTGTGGTAATGCATGTTTGTCTGGTAAAGTTTTTGTTCCTCTTCTGTTTTGAGACCTCTAGTCAACATTAAACTTCCGTTTTGAAGGCTCTTGTCTGAACTAATTAAGATTCCAGAAATAATAAGCTGATATTAAGTTTTGTGGTTTTGTTTCCTTTTTGCTGGATTGACATACACATTTGATTTTTGCTGCATTGTCTGATGATGGCTGGCAGTGTTTTCTGTCACATTGGCTCTTGATACTTCTGGGATTTATTTTGTCGGAGGAAGGATAGGACATCAAGTTCATTTTCAATATAGTAGAAACACATTTCATTCCTAATCTAGCCTTCTAAAAGCCTGCTGGAGGTTAGAGCTTTTGATATAGCTGAATTCTGTCTCATGTTCTTGATTGCACTGCTTCTCTGTCATTTAGTGTCCACTGTACTGACCTGTAATGTGAGTGGTCAAATAGGAATTGTCCATCCTTCTTAACTATAATACGTCTTCTCTCTTTTTGGCAATTGATCTATATCAGTATGTTTCCACAGTAGAAATAGCTTTCCAGTGGCATTGAGAATGACAAAAAAATGTTTTCTACTAGTTTTTTCAGAAATGAGTCATTAAGTTCTTCATTCTTTTTTCAGATGTTCTTGAAGCAGATAGGCCAGCTGAGTTAGCTGAGATAGTGATACATTCTGAAACAGACATTTATTTTCTTTCTTTTCTTTTATCTTTTTTTTTTTTTTTTTTGAGAAACCTGCAGGGATGTTTGATCTCTCTGCGGTTCTGCAGCCTTACCTATAACAGAACCCTGCTTTGAAAATGTAGATTAAAATTTAGGCACGAGTTGTAGAATGCTAATACTGAGTTCAAACAGGCTCATTTTGTAGTTTGCATTTTGAGGCAGTTCAGCAGCTATGGCTACAACAGAAGAAAAAACACTGAAGACATTGAAGTTGTATCTGAAGGGAGCTGTGTACCTGTTCTAGAATTTCTAATGGTGCTGGTTATCAGCTCTCTTGAGTTCTATGTAGAGCTGGACTTCAGAAGAGAAGAAACCTGAACTCAAGGACTAGGAGAAGCATGGAGCAGTGTTCAAACTGGTCGAGAAGGACAAGTAACTGCATGCCAAGTCATCCATATGGGGTTAGAAACCCATTTTATCCACTTCAATTTTATGTTCCAGCTGTTTGCCTAATAATTTTGAGCCGTTACATTTCTAAAAAGAAGTGGCTTACACGACTTGTTCAGCCTTATCTTCATGAAGACTGACTTCTTTTAATGCAAAGGATCTTCGTTGCCAAGGATGACTTCACTGACACTGAACTCAAAGGTGGAGATGCCCTAAAAGAGTCTGCCTCATTCTAGTAATATTTTTCACAGATGCCTCTTTTAGATGGTTAGATAAGTTGTATTACTGTTTTAGGGCAAGTTGCTGTAGCGTGTTCCTTATTCATCTGCTCAAAAAGTTAGGTAAACTCTTTTCCCACTTGATCAAGTTTGAGTAGTTGAGTCGGAAGAAGCTGATGAGTAACCAATAAAAATGCAATAACCTGTTAGCATCTAGCAAAAGATGTAATGAGTTCTTGCAGCAGCGTCCATTTTTTGCATATTGTATTGGTCGTTCCAGTGATAAATGCCAAATTCTCTTTGTGAATGATAACTTGATTATTGTAAGTTGCATTTTTGAATGTGGTTTGCTACTTGGCTGCTGTTGAGTCTGTTTTGAGAACCTTGTCCAGTCTCTTGTACATTGTGTTTTGTGTATTTTAAGGTATCATGTCTCCTGTACTTGGTTATAAAACAACGTGTTGAAGACTTACCAGTGTCTCAAAATGTGGGGGGGGGGGGGGGGAAA